GAACTTGTTGATGAGAATTAAACTCGAAGAAACGTGGACGTCAATTTGACGTATAACGACCATTGGTCGAAATGAAGAAAAGGAGAGAACGACCGATGGGTCGATATGAAGAACGTCAGGGAGTGACCCCATCAAAGATGTGTTATGTTAATATCTATATTGTAGTTGATTGGTATAAGTGAATGAGTTATACCCATATGAAGGTACTAGCAGCGCTCATCGTCGGGTTGCCCTCGAACTGATGAGCGGCACTAGTAAGTGCAAAGAAATGTAGGAACTATTATAAGTACAAAATAATAACATTATTTGGGGGTTCTCAAAGAATCAGTTTGGCTTCCGTTTCGCACGGGCCCTTAGACGGAAGCCAAACATGTGCCTGAATACCCTCTCCCTGTGCTCATCAGTAAGGGAGGAGAGGGAATGTCATTGGAATCAATACAAATTATAAAAAGAAGGTTGAAAAAGCGAATAGTGATTCATAAATGACAAAGAAACCGTTAAAATCATCATATTTGGTAAATGTCGTCATTTATGTAAGTATGGTGTACATTACGGACTATTTGTGCAATTGCACATAAGAGACAATAAAAGGTAGGCCCATTCTACCTGTCTTATGTGTTCTGTTATCCCGTTCTGTTATAGTATTCTGCATTGTTCTGCCATCGTTATTCTGTTCTTTTATAGTATCTCTGACCTTACTAACCAATACTGCTGGACGACATTGTTAAACTTCGTTATTGTTATCGTATGATGTTTAACAACCTGCAACCGTAGTCTGTACTTTATGTGTAATTTATACAAGCTTATTGATACTTGTTTGCAGATTTGTTTTTGTGGCCATGGCCAGGGACATGGAGGAATCGAACGACCCTGAAGCTCACGGCCCCAGTGTGAGTCAGTTATAGTGTATTAGTTTCCAAAACTTCATGTAACATCTGTTATCTTCAAATCAATACCCTTATGTTAGCTAACTAATTCCATTTGTCTTAGTGTGACTTATACTAGTTAGAGAATGTGTTATTGAAGACATGGTAGTATTGTTGTTCTCATTCTATTGAACTTAATATTATATTATAGCCAATCGGAACGTCTGCGCAGGTCCCGGAGGCATCCCCGGTTCGCGTCAACGATGTTATTCCGCCTTTAAACAGGGTGAGTGTTAATGCATTAGTATATGTAGATTGTACATGATATTACTAGTAATCTAACCTTATACTGTTAACCTTGTTATACTAGATTTCATGCTAACTAATCTTATACTATGTCTTTAAACGTGCCTTTATTCAAGTTATACTTAAACTTTATAAATTTATTCTTGACTATGCATTTGATAAGGCATGCAAGCATTACATCTTTATCATATCCTGCTCCCTCTAATTGTCTGCACATGTGTTTGATTCTACTCTTGAAATCCTTCTTTTCTGTACATGTGCGGGCAATTCTGAGGATTTCGGAGTATATCGTGTTTTGTTTAATTTTATTAGCGATATTACTACTAGAGTTAGGGAACTTTTTACTGGGAAACTGAAGCTATCCGTCTTATTATATACTAAGTCGCCATGTCAAGGAGGCTAGCTTTTCGAAGCGGTGCACATTATTTCAAGTTGCATTCGTGAACAGTAACTTCGGTCAAGCTTGTGTAGTATAGAAAGAGTCTGTCAGGAGCATGACAGCTTTTGAAACGGCCAAGATACAGTGTGTCCCAAAAGTATAGGGATTTGTCATCTATGCACGGTCTTTCATCGCTGCACACTTTTGTGTATTTACTGAAATATCGACTCGAGGAAAGAGGCATTAACTTTGTGTGACCTCAAAGTCAGGTTCGTTCAGAAATGCACAGAAATCCTGAAGGCACGGGGTTGCGATTCAATCTTGATTCCTGCTTGAGTATATCAAAACAGCCGAGTGTATCATCAAGGCCGATTCAACGGCAGCTGCGGCGCGATTGTCACTGGGTCAGATTTGCTGAAATCCCGAAAAAAAAACCGTCGAAATCTACACCCTCGATGAAAAGGTTGCATTCCTCCATTTCATAACCTTTGAAGCAGTTTGAGGTAGGGTTAGATAGAGCTGGATTTCGCGTTTCCAAGAAGTATTGAAATTGCTCTGAAAGCCTTCCATGCAGAAAGATAGGGTCTCTCAAATTTCGTCGAGTAAACGTCGAGGACGCTGAAATTTTCATGCGAGTTTTTGCCACTTCAAAAGCAATATCTCTCTAATTCGTAAGATCCTGAAAAAGGGAAGATAGTTTTGGAAAGCGGAAGGTTTGCGCTTTCTGATGGTCTTCTTAGCTTTCTTCTACATTTCCTAGTTGAGAAGATATCTGCGTCGAGTATGTATCGAGGACGGATCCGGCCACCTGAAAATCCGCTCCCTCTTCACCATTGCAAGTGTAATTGTTGGCAACGCTTGAAATGGGTCTAGAAAACATCTTCCCAACATAAGCAATAGGAAAAGGGGCAATCGTCATCATCGATTTTGTCTGGTATAGGCCATGCATCCGACCTCACTCGAAGTTGCAGAATCGATTCGAAGGTGTATATGATCATGACCAGTTGACAGAAGCTGCATTGTAGTAAACGCATTTCGTAACTCCTACAACCTGAAGAACAATTTGCCCAGGGCTTTTCCTTCACGGTTGTCGTTTTTGCGACAGGGTCCCTAACAACAGTGTCATTCTCAGCGAGGTATTAAGGGAGAAGGAGCGAGCGATAGGCAGAGGAGGTGCCTTTGCAGCGCGTGCGCACATGTGGCAGTCTTCTTTGCGGGGATGCACTTTCATTCTTTGTACTGCCTTCAAATACGCCCTTCTCATGAAGGTGGAGGAATGGAGCGACTGAACCTGCAAAGAAAATTTAATATCATGTTTTTCAGATATTTTCATTTTCTGCTGCGCTATACCCTCTTACCTATCTGCACCACGATACCACTGCTGTTACTGACCCCCAAGAGTACGACCCCCCATGACCCAGCCCGACAGGTACGACCCCCCTGTCGAGGATTTCCTCGACCGATATTCACCCTGAGCGGGAGACCCAGGAAGTTTTGGAAAGGCAGAAGCGCCGAATTCTCTATGCTGCATCCAATTCCACAAAGGGTGTGAGGCGGCTGAGCAAGGAAGTAGCACCCGATGTGTCGAGAAGTACTGGTCATCGTGTGCTCAAATCATGTCCCCACATCGTTCAAAGGCAGTTTTTGACTACGCCATGTTTGACGAGTGCGTATGAAGAAGCACGAGTCTTTTTCGCAAAGGAACACGTAGGCTGGACTCGTCAATGGGATGAGGTACTTTGCACTGGCGGATTCCGCATGTAATATCACACTGTAGTGCTCCAGGTGAATTATTCCCATAGAACGAAGTCTAATTTAATGGATCTGATGGCCTTGCAAGCCAGTGGCGCGAATTGAGGAACGAGCCACGCCAGACGCGGTTCCGGTGACGGCAATGTCACGGTTTGAACTGGCTGCTCCAGCATCCCGTAACTGTGAACTGGTTTTGTCACGCAACGCTTGAACTCCGCTTGTTACAGGAACATCCCCCAGAACAGTTCGGTTTCACATGCAGCTATTTTCACCCTTCAACTTCGAATCTCAACAGACAACGCCGCCGTTCATGTAAGTGTCGCAACAATGGAGTGGTTCCAAGAGAGAAACATCAGTCTTCTCGGCTGGCCAGCCAAATCTCCTGTCTTGAATCCGATAGAGAACCTATGGGGCATACTCGCACGGGACGTTTACGCCAACTGCAGACAGTTCGAGAACGAAGAACAGCTGAAAAACGCCGTCAAGGAGGCTTGAGAGCGGATATCGCCGGAAACGATCTCAAGGCTTCTCCAAAGCATGCCGAAGCGGATGATTGAAGTTATTGAAAGAAGAAGAAATGTTACTACTTTTTAATTATTATTGTTATTGTTGATTTCATCAAAGTATATCGTTCGGAAGTTTGAACGCCGAAGTGTCCCTATACTTTTGGGACGCCATGGTTTTAGAAAAAAAATCATTAAAAACTTCAAGATTTTTCTTCTTAGCTTCAATTATATATTTGTACCCTGGTGTAATAGTGCATTGTTAATAAAAATTAAAAGAGAAAATATTCGCCCATTATGGAGGTAGTGAAGAAAATATGGGTGTCTTCTACTTTTGGGACACACTGTATGTGTTGGGAACGAATTCGTGAAGAAGGATATCAGAGTTGAATTTAGTGTAAGCACTCACTGCCCATAGTCTCCTGCTTCTATTTACTAGACGCATACTCTCCCAAGTGGTCGTACTGGCCTCAACGAGCCAAGTCAACAGAACATTCCACCAAGTTTTCATTTAAGACAGTTCAAGGATATCACTTGTTTTACTCCAGGTCAAAAATTGTAAAATTAGTTTAACAAGAATGCTGGGTTGTGAACAAAACTTTCGCCCCAGACGGGACTCGAACCCGCACCCCTCGTTTGTCGTGACTAGCAAATGGTAGAGCGTTCTCGAGTCCAATCCACGAGGTGGATGTAAGTGCTGCAGCCAGAATTTATCCAAGAAAATTCAAAAACCTCCACCACTAAAAAAATCCATACTCCGATTCACTGTTCTAATACAATATCTCTCTACACTTATGGATTCGCGTGGAAGGCCACCACTATCTGCAATTAGGCTTCCTAGGCCAGCTACGCTTGACCGCTGGCAGCGTGTTTCACCTTACCAACGCTTCGATACTGGTGGAGTATTTTTATAAGAAGCCAGCAGCGTCCCTACACTCCATTACAAGTAGGGCTCAGACAGAGGCTCCTACTACATATCCTTCGTTATGGGCACCACTGTGTGATAGAGGCCTAGGCTGTGGAATACCAGAAGCTGGCCGAGGCAGCTCGTCAAGAGCCCTCGTACCGCGACAATATTCATTTCTTTCATGACATTGCGAATCACCATGATCCGAAATAAGCCCGGTAAGAAATTCTGGAGTTGCGGCAAGATTTCTTACCTCTCTTAGCGTAATCCCCTGTCGAGCTATAAAGGCCTGCAACCTATCCTGGACCTTTAATCATCATCTTGATAACGAAATAATTAGACGATCAACTCCAACTCGGAAGTGAGGTCGCCTCCTTTCTTGACCCGCACTCCGCTGGGTTTTGGAAAAGGCGCATCAGGAAATTTTCTGAGCGTTGAAGACAAGTGGTGGACACTCATGATAGATATATGACCGGTCAGGAGTTGTAAACAAAAAAGATAGAATTAAAATCAAAAAATTGAAAAAGTGTTGCAGGACTTTCTTGCCAATTTAATACTTACCATAGCTTGTCAGCACTCACACGTATAACGTGTTGAGCCGGTCAGCCGATATCGGCAATGACCGCTAGGCTGAGAGCTTTAGCAATGAATTCTGACTTGTTTTTGTTTGTCAGTCAAAATTCATTGCTAAAGCTTCAGCCTCGCGGTCATTGCCGATATCGGCTAACCGGCTCAACACGTTATACGTGTGAGTGCTGAAAGCTATGGTAAGTATACCATGAAAAGCTGAGTTGGAATGAAATGGTGCCCCGGTAGCGTAACTGGTAGCGCACTTGCCCGGAAAGCGAGAGGTGCGGGTTCTAGTCCCGCCTGGGGCGAAAGTTTTGTTCACAACCCAGCATTCTTGTGAAACATTCGCAAGGCGAACTGCGGCCAAAAACAGCAGTTAACAAACAAAAACAAGTCAAAATTCTGTACAGTTAGTGTTGACAGCGTGTGGGTGACATACAGCACCGTGTCCATTGTTCATCCTTGCGCCCACAACCCCACACCTCCCATCGGAGAATATACGACCCTCGACCCATTATATTCCCCGTGCCTGAACGAAGTCCTCGTAACTTTTCACAGTTCTCCAACAGAAACCTGACTACCGGGCTGGCGGTGGTTACAAAGCGCACTTGATATGTCAAGAAATTTCGTTGTCAACCGCTGCTCCCATCGGTCACCATCATTGTAGTGAGAGAAGGAACTCATGAAACTGTAACGCAATCGACACAACTCACTCTGACGATTCCGTCTTTACCAAGAACAATATCTCCTTTTGTATCCTCCGACGGATTTGTTGTAATTTTCTTAATATCCACATCGCATATATCATTATCATCTCGAGACTTGATGAGAAACATGATCATCCAACTTTGACACAAACTAGAAGAAGCCTTTGAAATCTTAAGCAGTAAGTTTTAATGAGGTCCAATCATGAAGCTATTCATGAATCAACTTTTGAGAAAACACATAATCTTACTCGGAGGCTCTAAGAAAAGCAAAATCTACACCTTCCAGTTTTAGCAGAATAAAAATTTTGCAAGTTTTATACAAGCAAAAGAACGTACCCCTCACTAGTTCTAAGATAGATAAGCTTTCGTTGATCGAAACAAAAACATTCATATTCTTTGCCATTTTCAGTAGAACCACGTTTCTCCAAAACGACACCTCGTAAAATTCCATCTAAAATATAGTGCGCCATCAACACCGTCATTAAAGAAAGCTGGATCAGTCGCTAAGTAGTCCGTTGACTTTAATTCACCTTGTCTGTTGGTATGAAAATCATTGCTGGTCGAAGGATTATCAGTGATGCCCTTAAAGAAAATAATATAAATATGGCGTAAGGACTTCTGATGTCAAAAACGACGATGCAACCGCCACACTCGAAAAATCACTTCAAGAAAATATGTGTCGCTGAGTCGGAGGAGAACATCGACTGCACTTTCCCTAAGATTTGAGCGCACGCAATCCACACTCTTGAACGTGTATGTGAAGGCTTTCACCTTCCAGGTAGACGACTTTCGATTTCTAACAGCAACGTGTCATTTGTCCATGCTAATGTATGGCGAAAAATGGGTGGCGAAAAATTAAGTGCGCATGACATTTTTCCTTCAAACACTGTACGAGAAGTTGATGATGCTTTTCCTCTTCAGAAAATTTGTTTATCTAAGTAGTGATCCGCAGAAAAAAAACATTTGTTTTCCAAATTTCGGCGAAGATCTGCTCAAGCTGCAACGCGACTGAGCGCTGGGAAAAAGCTTGATTAAAAGGTCACTGATTTCTTTGAGGCTCACGGTTTCTCACAGCCATCTAGTTTTAAGGCAATGCAAAGAGGAAAGTCTGTTCGAACTAAACCCTTAAATAAATGACGGTCTAGCATAGCCCGATGGTGCAGGTTTTTCAGAAGACGAATATCCAAAAAGCTGATGGAACTTGAGTAAGAGGGTCAAGCAGCCTTGAACTTGTCGAAGATCCGTTGAAATGGTAGTGAAATTTGATCATGGAATTAGAGGTCGTAGTTTAGCAATCGCACAAAATCCCACCGAACAAAAAATGAGAAATTACCGGGACTTTTCCGAGGTGCGCTGATCCTAAGTTCACAGTTCAAGCGGTCTCTCAAAAGAATCTTAGAACCGCCTACAACTTATCAGCTCAGCTGCCTAGAACAATCGGGATTGTAAAGTACCCACAAAGAATCCGTTCCCTGCCGTTTGATGATTTCAAGGTTTGAGTGCTTCCGCAAAGCCTCCATTAACTTCCAAAAAAAACCTTTCACCGACAGAGCATGAAAATCAACGTGAAGATCTACAAGAAGGCTCCTCAGCAAAGCTGTGACTGTAACAAATGCAAAATCATAAAAATTTTATCTTCTACAAAGATGGCCTCAGCTCATGCACCAATACTACTATGCACTTTTCCAAAACCTATACCGGCTCCTTTTTTAAATTGGATTTGTGGCCTGTTGACAGTCGAAATTAAATCCATTAAACTTCTCTGTTTGAGGCCTCACTGAAGAGCTACCAATGAATTGAAATACAAAAATTTGGTGAAAAAAGAGCTGCCTGTAATTTGGAATGATTTAAGGCTGATCACCTCCTCCGCACCATCAACTCGATGACAGAACGGATTCAGGCCTGCACCAGAACTGATGATGCCCAATTCAAAAATCCACTGCAAGTATAAAACGTTCGCATCTTCGTTCTTTGCTTTGTTTTTGTGTACAAAAAATAGAGCTTAGACGATTTTTAATAAAAAGCTAAGAGCTAAAATTGTAGAAAATGGACAATTCGGAAACTAACGGGGAAAAGTAGTGAGAAATGCCAGTTTTTACACTTTACGAAGCCATAACTTTCTTCAAATGTCATAATTTATAAAGGTTCGTGTGGCGTTGCAAGAACGGTTTACTTAACGGCCAATGGAGTGACCTTATTTGTTCACTACATATATCAAAATAGCCCTGTTGAGGATTTTTGCAAAAATAACGGGAAAATTTTTTAGAGAAGCGCGAATTCTTACACCCTCAGAAGCTGTAACTTCCTTCAAAAGCATCATGTCAGGACAGTTGATATACAGGGGGGGGGCCAAAAAAAAAAGACATTTTGCCTCCACTTCCAGATGGATTTAAGCACATTTTACTCAACTCAGACCGAACGGTTCCAACTTATTATTAAAGAGTGCATTCCATTCTATAAGAAAATCTTCATAGTGGCCACGTACGTGGACGGCATCAGAAGAATTAGCCCTGGAAACATGGTGCACTGGTCGATCTCAATGGGGTCTTCGAAGGATCGTGTACCATAACGACCCTTACTGGAAAGCTAGTTCCGAGGGGATTTGCACAGTGGTAGCTAATGCCTCTAGAAAACTATCCAACATTAAATCGA